ATAACGGATAATATGACGGCATTGAAGAGTTTGAAGTTGACGTTTGGCTCATACAAGGCGTCGTCGTTGAGACCATTGGCCAAACTGTCTTCTCTGGAGTTCCTGGTGTTGGCCGAAGACTCGCGCAATGAGAACGAGTCGGTGCTGACCGACGAGTCGCTGCTACCGGTGCTGAAGGGCTGCGCGAACCTCAAGTCGTTGGCAATCGCGGGCACGAAAGCCAATACCTGTCGGTTCACAAACCGGACGATAGCTATGATCGCCAGGTATTGCAAACATATGGAACAGATTCGGTTCCTCAACGCCCATAACCTGACGGACGAGTCGCTGGACATCCTGTCGACAATTCCTACGTTATTAGTGCTGCACTTGTCGTCTATGAACGGCATAACGAGTCGAGGAGTGAGTGATTTCGCCAAAAGGTCGCCTAAAATTAGAAACTTTCGGATCAGTGATTGTCCTAATGTTGCCGAAGACATCATCGACTCGTGGACTGAAGTGGCAAAGAGTAGGAGTGAAGAGAAGATAAAGCTATTCCTCGAAGGCATGGAAGTGACCAGAAGTTTGGATCAGTTGCCCCCTAATCTTAGGCTTGATGTCAAAGAGAGCGAAGAGTCAACAGAACAGCCCATAAATGCTGAACAAAATTGTAATAATACAAGCAATTGATTGAATAGTTAGTTAGAAAGCAAATTAAATTTGTCGTTGACTTTAAATTACATTTATATTTTGTCTGTTTATTATCACATAACACATGATTTATTTTAATCAATCTATTCACGGCCAGCCAACCATTATAATTTATTTCATAATTTAATTATGTTGTACAATATTTTAATGTTTTAATATTTATTAAATGTAATTAAAGTAACTTTTGTAATACCATAATGATCTCTAATACCACAGTTAGCACAATAGTTAGCTTTTTTAGCTTTTCAATTGCTTTATATTATTTTCTTTAAATTAAAATTGTAAAACTGATTAACTCATTGTTGACTTATTCTTAATGTTTAGTTCACCCAAAATATGCATAAAGTTTTACATACAGTATACATGATTGAATAGAATTTATTGAGAGGTGAGTTATTGTAAAAAATGCAATTTTATTAATCAAAATTGATTTATCGTATTTTAGAAAAGTTTATAAACATTGGAAACAAAAATTGTATAAAATGCGATCATGTGTGAAATGTATGTCACTTTTGCATCATTTTTATATAATTATGAGATTATATACGCAAACGAAATAAAAACGATTGTTTTCATCATGTTTTATAACTCGATATCATTGCCCAGTCTTTCGATCTCATCAATGATGTAATCCATGTCCTTATGGTTGGGCTCAGGAAAACAGGTTAGACTTAATCTAAAGAAATTAGGCAACTGTTTGGTGGAGAGGGGCTGATAGCCGATCATAAGTGAGCCGTTGGCCATCATTTGCTTTTTAATAAGTGGCGCCACTTTGGACAGCACTTCCGGCGCCAAAGACTCACCAATTGTTCGCATTTTCGGTGGAATAAACCAAAACGAGATGAGATTACTCTCAAACTCATCCAACACTAACTTAAAGCCTGACCTTTGTTTCAGTTTTTCAGTTATATATCTATTAAACAACATTTTATTAACAAAACTATAATCCATAAACATAGAGATCGCATACTTAGCCATATCGTAGACATTATTGACCACCGATTCCATACCGGATCTCCCGTAAGCCTTAAGTTGAAGCCATAGCTTAAGTGTATCGGACTTTCGGCCGCATTGTATGGACTTATCGCCGGAATCATAGGACGCGTCATAGAATTTGTCGCTTTGAAAGATATATTCGGCGCGCA